TGCTGGTTTTTAAAGATTACTGATTGGACGAACCGATCTTCTGTTTGCAATATTCTTGCTTAGCGTGTCACAATTTTTACATTCTTTCAATCCTTTTTTCGGAAGAGAAGAAAGAGAAAGGTGGGATTAATTCGATTTTCATTTTTTTCTTTTTTTCTGGCTTGTGTTTTTCGAGGTAAGATCAGTACTATCTTGATTTTTGGTAGCCGTGGAAGATAAATTTGTAACGTAGAGTTTTGGCAAGAAGAAGCTGTGACAAATTCCTTCAGACAGTTTTTGAAGGCGAGCGGTTTCTAGTGTTTAAGGTTTCATCATCTGTTTATTCCATCTGATTATTTGAACTTTGCTTTTTTTGTTGTTGCCTTGCTTTTTTGCATTCGGTGAGTGAAAATTTCGGAGTAGCCAAAATGATAGAAAAGGTGATTGTTGCTGACCATTTTGTGAGCTTTTGTATCAGTTTTTTCGCTTATGGCAGTATTTGAAATTTTTATGTAGAGTTGTTTTTAAATAAATTCTTTGTTTATTTCAAAGTGAAATGAGGGAGTTGAAAAGCAAGTTCTCATTTAAATTTTCTTTCACGAATTTCCCACTTATATGCAGAGATTTTATTTGTTTATAATTGTATCTTTCAGTCAGTCCTTCAAGAGAAATATTTTTTGGAGTACATGTTGGGTGTCTCGTTTGTGTCCGGCACGGTGGAATGTTTCATTGACGAGGATGCGCCTGACATATGACACATTTATCAGATATTTTCTTCATCAGGTGCTACAAGAAGTGATTTTTGTAGATGTTATTCTTGCTGCAGCTATTGTTGCAGTGGCTCTGGATGGTATCGCTGACATTGTTTTTGGGGCTGTTGCTGAATTAGACAACGGGCTTATTTAATTTTTCTTTGCATCTACTGTGTTAGAAGCTGAACGAACCAGTATGAGGATGGATGATTTGGCAATCAACAGCGCACACAAACACATACACACATAAACCTGCCGCAAGGTTTTATGCTTTGGAATAGATGATGTCGATCAACAGCTAATCAATCAGATCAGTCCTCAACTGCTCTTTGCTGTGTGCTTAGTTTTGAACGTTTTTTTTCGCCTTTGTAGCAGCAGATGGGTTTTTGTAACCAGCTCTCCTGCTATATTATTTTGATTGTAGTCTGAAAGTCATTTTGAAAACCAAGGGCATTTTTGATAGGAGTCGGGTGAAGAGAAAGGAGAAGGTTTACTGCCTCCCTCTTTCCACTGAGAGACCAGCGTCATGTATTTACTGATATGTCGAATCTCATCAGCGTAGGAATTGTAACATCCATTCTGATTACCTTTATTTTTCATGGACATTGGTCACTTCTCCTTTTATGTGTTTACTTGGTCTAGAAAATGTTTCAGTTTTTCAGCGACAAATTCACTTTTTTTTCGGAGATTACGTGTAGTCAGTTTTCAGGTACCGCAAGTGATTTAATTGGACTTTCTGAATAGTAACTGCATTTTCTGGATTAACAAATTGTTTTTTACTAATTGGACACGCTTTGCGCAATCAATGAGGCATTTATTTGGTTCAAAGTTACTATTTTTTTTTCGTGACTTTTAGGTGGAATAAGAAAAAATTTTTCGTAATTTTTTTCAGTGTTTACAGCAGTAAATGGTGAAATTCATAAAATTAAACTGGTTTCTCATTTGCGTCATCAAATTTGTTTTGCAAAGCGTAATTTTTTCGTGTCTTCCAAGAAAGCATAGGTTTGGAAAAGAAAAAGAAAGAACGTTTTCTTGTTTTTTGACTTCATCTATGAAAAAAATTGTCGTTTTCAAGTGCCCTTATTTTGATGGTTGAGAGACGAAGTTAGTTG